CATAACATACATATACATANACTATATATATATATTATATACAAACTTACATACATACATACATACATACATACATACATACATACATACATATATATATATCGATTTATATACTGATAGGAATGTATATAATATACCACATGGAAACCATCTGCAGAAACACAGAGATGGGATCAACACACCTTCTGCGCGATTGTCCTTTGTCAGCGACTTGAAGGGGCATTTATCGGCCAGCATTCGATAGGCCTCTATCCGCACCTGTGAAGGTGTGAGTGCACACCTTCAGAACGAACACTAACAAACTAATACGAAACTCTTACAGCTTTAACAATATCTCTATATCGTATAAGTAAGGACGATAATCAAAATGAACGCCAAAATTTAGATACGACACTCTTATAGCTTCCATAATATTTTTATATCGTATAAGTAAGATCTATTGCATGAACATATCCAAACTAATAGCACACCCATACCGCTTCTTTGATATCTCTCGTGCGGGTAATGAGGGCCTTCAGATTGACCTTTGAGAGTCCGATGTGAGTCAAGGCTGCCTTTCGCACCTGTGGAGTAGGATTTTTTTATAAATGAGAGGGTAGTGCATACATAAGTGTAGGCTTAAGTGTAACAACCGTATACACACCGGATTGTGCGTATATAAAAATATGTATAGCTGTAGTCACCGTCCACGCACCCGACTGTGTATATAAGGTAAAGTTCAATCACCATGAGCACCGTTCTGTACGTATGAGTTTCAATGTAATAACCGTATACACACTACTTTGTACGTATAAGTATCAGCGTAAAAAGGACAGAGACATACAAACATACATCGGAAACAGCAGAAATATAGGAACAGTCGCGTGATGCAACACACATAGCGGGCGCATGCAAACGTAAGCATATAGGGCTGTTGCTGTGGTTTGCACACACGTCTCTAGAATAGATGTGCACGGCTGGACCGGTGATAGAACTCCCGAATATGTCATGTTCTCTCAATCCTCACTCCTATATGCAATCATTGCATACTCATAGCCGCCTACAACTAACATACCTCTGGACTGGAATCTGTTGTGGACATGCGCATGAAGGCCATGGTGATGGCGTTGTCAGGGTCCTCCCAACCAATGCCTGGTCCTTCCTAGAAATACAAAACGACAATGTGACCAGAAAAACCAGACAATGGGATCAGGATAATCGAACAATAGGGTCAGAGCAATCGGATCACGCGATCAGAATATCCAAACAATGATATCGGAAGATCAGACATTGCGATCAAAATAATCAGACAATGTGATAAGAATAATCACACCATGAATTTAAATAATCGGACAATGAGATCCGATTAAAATAATTAAGGATTGTTTTCCAGATGCATGGGACTGGAACGATTCGTGTACTTCGCTGCGCAAACAGATGCGAATGCCATGACAATCCAAGGCAGCTAAGAATCATACGTACCCGCACTAGTAACTAAGCGAGAGTGGAATGCGTAAACCACGCCACATTTACTTAGGACGAATGATTAAGGGGGGAAAAGCGTTTATACACCCACGTTGAATATAAATGTGTTGAAGCGTACAGGTAATTTTCAAGTATTGTGAAAGCCAGAAAAACAGGAGTGACATAGAATTAAATGTTCTTTTATTGTATTGTATGTTTCAGCATTCACAGACACAGACACAGACACAGCCACAAACACGGGCACGGACACAGA